CACTGAAAGAGATTAAACTGTATCCTTATTTAGCAATAGTTTAAATCATTGTGAGCCTAATGTATTAAACCTGTACACCATATCTGGCCTGCGGGCCTTCAGTTTATGATCACTGATATTGAATTTTGTTACTGGCTACCGCTATCAAAGGATCTCAACATCCAGTATGAAACTGATACATTGTGTCGACCCAGCATTGGTTTGTCTTTTAGGTTTAGGAGGTTTTAATGCTTTATTTATTTATGGTTTAGAATTAAGTTGCTGAATAAACAATTACATCAACAATAAGAAAATGGTGAAAATTTGTCAAATACTTGACAGATAGTGATTGAAAAGTAGCCGCAGTTTATTATAAAAAACAACAAATTTGAAATACTTTCAGAAATATAAGAAATGTGTAACAACTAAAGCCTTTTGCACTGACTGTATTATAAAAAGTAGATTTTTTTTTGTTTTCTTTCCTTCTCCTTCATTCTTTACTTGCCCACGGGTTGTGAAATGTGTGTTTTGTTTTCTCTGGCTTTTTTTTTTTCAGTTTTTGGCATCTTTTTTGGCATCCTGCTTCTCTGAACGGGCCTGAGCTCGTCTTATCACAGGAGCGGAACAGGGTCAGGGCGGAGCAGCATTTGGATGAGAAACTTCCTGTGAACGCCAGGTGTTACTGACCGAGTTGGCAGCTGGGCTTGATTGGGTTTTTAGCAGATGCCGTGAGTCTTGACCTGACCTGACAAATCTGACCCTGCACTAAAAAAATCACTATGATACGTTGTCATTTTTGGTCACATTGGGATTAAATCAAGAATTTAAGATGACAGTTGTGTTTAAATGATGACCTACCCTATAATTATACAAGAAACATCATAAAAAAAGCATGCAGATAGTTATTGGTTCAATGGTTTACCACCAAACTATAGAGCATAAGTTGTTCATTCCTTCATATGTGTGCTCATCAGTTCTTATTGCATCCTCCATTTGCATCTTCATATGAAAGTATCAATCTTCTGTGATAAACACAATATCAGTATTATTCCCCTGCAGTTGTTTTTCAAGGACTTGAGAGAAGAAATGTAACACCATTCAGAAAAGAAATGGGGTGCAGGTGATGTTCATATCTGAAAGCCAGAAGCAAATAAAAATACGAAGGGAAAAACAGCTTCAGCTGAGTTCAGAGTTCTGTGAGTCTCAAACAGAGCAGTCCCTCTGTGTCCTTTAACGACCCCTCAGCACATCCTCAGGCCTAAACTGACGCCAGGAAAAACTTTCTCATGAGGCCCAAAATGGGACAACATGACATCAAATCATAAGACTTCCTGAATGCCAGAGGAATGTGTGTACAAGCTGAAACAAGACCATTTTTTCTGCTGTTAAAACACTGGAAAAAAAACCATTTAGATGAATAGTATGACGCCACGTTACATATTAAATACAGAGCTGCAGGCATAATTTTTTAAACCCGTAGGAACAAAAAAATGGTACATTTAATTGTATTTTGCTATGTTATTTGACTATATATCTAGTATTTATCCAAACCAAGCTTATCTATATACTATTTTAGTAAATATTTATATTTTGCTGCTTTCTCCATATTTACTTACATAAGAAACTTACAAACTTTTCCAATCGCTGCCATATGTTTTGTAATTTTTCCTTAAAACTGTCATTTTAGAAATCGTTGATGAGGTTTACATGATATACTTGGCTAGTTTCAGTAAAACCAGGAAACAAGATCTATGTCAGAGTATGGACATGTCTCAGCCCCTCGAAGCAGGAAGATTTTCTTCTTTCTTCAAATATTTGCCTAACGTGTGCCATGTTTTTTTTTTTAACTTGGAACTGTGTGTACTTTAGAGTTTCAGCAGACTGGTTTGATGCCATCACCTGAAGCATTTGCATCTCCACCTAGGAGATTATGTTTTCTGTAGCAATGGCGAATTTTTTTTAGGAAATGTTGAAGTTGTCACAAAGAAGAAAGGATTCAATTTTGGTGCTGATCTGGATCACCTAGTGAGTGACGGAGGTGTGCTCTCCCATAAGTGCTTCTAGTTTTTGAAAGAGATTGGAATTGTAAACATGGGAATAGTGGTTGTGAGTCTTGTAAACATTTTTATTTTACCTTTGACAAGTAAAAATGTACATTTGTAAGAATAAAATTATAAAACAATGGAAGATGTAGCAGAGGTTGGAAGATGGTGCCTAATGCTCGTCATAGACCAGCAAACGTAACTGACTACTTACTTATGTTCTTTGAGGAAAAACATTTCTGCCAAGGCAACCAATGGTGAAAAGCAATGGTGAAACTGATGATGATGTAAAGGTTTAAGAGCATGTATGAATCCCTTTAAAACGGTTTTGCCAGATTATAATCACTCACATTTTCAATATTTATTGTACTTTGTGCAAAGGTTCAATAGCTGTTCCATAAATTACACTTGTTTCTGCACAAATATTATATTTGAGTTGGACATGCCGCGTGCTGCAGCAGAAATGCAACAGCTAGCTGCTTCTGCTATATGCACCTGTAACCAAAATGCTAACCATGTGATTCAAAACTGATGGCCGTGTAAAGGTTTCACAAAACATTGTTTTCATGAACCTCTTTGAATTTTAGCAGACATCTTTGGTTGGACAAGCCGTTAACTTATCAGTCCTGTCAGACCAAAACTTTATTTATCCAAACTGAGGTCATTCAGAGAGTCATCTATGACAGGTAAGATATTTCTTACTACGGTTTGAGCTATTTTTATGAAACCATTTCCTACTGTGGCTGTGGAGTTGCATCATATGTCTTTTTACATTTGCACTTTATTGTACGCAAACTACATTTTATTCAGACAAAAACTCACTTTATTCCTCAATATGCTCAACCCAAATAAAGCATAAAAAATTAAGTTATATTTTTTCAGAACTTGTTCCATGAAACACAAGTAAAGAGACATTTTTTTCATTTTAGTTAAGTTTATTCATTTCTTTAAAAACAACATAAATTCAACAAACAACAAAAATACAAATCATAAATTAAATGAAAGGTAGCAGAAGAAGAAAAATTCTTATTATATCTGCCCCTTTTTCTCAAATAAATAAATTCAATTAAAAATAATATTCGGTTTACAAAAAAAAAAAAAGAAAAAAATAATAAAGGTTTAACTCCTTGAACAACAATTCTTACAATTACATATTTCTCCAGCAAATTAACTTTTATCATTCTCTTAAATATATTCTATGTTGAATGAGTTCCATCCCTGCATGCATTTAGGCCCGTGCACTCAGACACACCAGAGGACACTGTGTGCAGCTCAGAGCGAAGTCCTTCAGCAGCAGACGTCTCCCACCGAGTCGCTGCCAGCTGCAGCTATCTGGGCTCACAGTAAAGGGTTGTGCTCCCATGAGAGACTTTAAAAGATAAATATTAGTACGGACATTCCTCACATGTATAATGAGGGGAGTTTTAAAGGCTGCAGTTGTAAAAGGATAACTTTTTATAATCAACACATTGTAGCGGCTGAAAAATGTAACCGTCGACACCTTACAAGGTAAAACTGATTTGTTTTCGTTCTGTTGTAGATAGAAAATTACTTGCAGTTGTACTGATTCTAAGTTTTTGTGTAGGAGGTGCAGCACAGCGGTGCAGTTGCTTTTCAGGAAAAAAGTTTGCAGAATCGCCTCCCAACCCAGACACAGCTCCACAAATTTGCAAAGTTTGCGTGCTTTCCTTACGCACATGTGGGTTTTCTCCAAGTCCTCTGGTTTCCTCCCACAAACCAAAAACACACACGTTAGGCTATTTGGTAAATTTAAATTGTCCCAAGTTGTGAGTGTGAATGATTGTTTGTCTCTTTGTGATAGACATGTGACCTGTCTACCTACCTTGATCCACAGTGACTGCTGGACCTGGAAGGAAAACACAGGTTTAAAAAATTGGATAGATGTTTGGTTTTTGTGTGGGTTCCCCTCCAAATGCTTAGATATGTCTCATTGATTAGAAATAAATTGTTCATCACAGTAATTAATGCTTATAGTTTTGATCAAATGACTAAAAGTTGTCATATAAAACATGTTGTTGCCACATAACCCTTATCTAAAGCTCCACAGCTCAACATTGCTTTAAAAGGCTTGCTGCCCTTTAACAGAGCCCTCATCTGTTTATTCAGTGCGGATGCCGACTGTAGTAAGGTTTAATCCTAATCCACTTGCATCTTGTTTTGAGTAAGTGATCAAAGGAGCCCGTCCAAGATGTTCACAGGTCAGTGTGTGCTCGCTGTGGAGCTGTAAGGAGTTACAGCCCTTTTACTTTGTATGTAACTACAAGCAGCAGGAAGGAGCCTCATATGATAAAAAGACAACTTTTGAGCTGAGGTAAAAATGAATGACGGGTGAGTTTCATTTATTTCATTCAAAAATTATATGTTTTTACTGTCCAGAAAAGCAAGCAAATGAGATGATTTTTCTAAATAACATACTGTTTATGCCTTATTGTTGAAGTCGCATTAATCAGGTGTGTAAAAAGATGGTGGAAAAGTAACAGAATAATTTGTTACTTTGTTTGCAGATATTTTACTCCAGAAACAATCCCAGGATGCAAATCACAAGGTCACATATCTGAGTCTCACACATGAATGTGCCCGTTTGTTTCCGACAACTGAAACCGCAAAGGGTCATGGGATGCGGCGTGGGAAAATCCAGACCTCAGCAGGAGAAGTGTGACAAAGGTGAATTATTTATGCAAATTTAATGAAAGGCTCACTTTGAATTGTAGTGTTTTAACGTTTATTATGTGTCTTTGTTTTTTTCATGTCCAGTCAGCATCTCAGTCCCAGGTATTTATTTATTTTACCAAACTTTGACCCAATAAATTTGCTTCTCAATTCTCAATTTGTGTTTGATCTCATCTGTAATCTAAACCTGAATTTCATGCAACCTGTGAAGCTGCCACAGGTAAGTCCTTCAGACTGTATCTGATGTTTTGAATGATATTATTAGCAGTAGAGGACAACTTGAATTAACAAAATGTTATAGAGTTTAAGTAGTTAGGTGGTAGTAAAAAAAGTAAAGACTTTTATTCTTAAAGGGGTTTCATTTTGACTCAAAAGGCCTCTTGTAAAGTCAGAACGGCTCATGAATCCAGGATCAAATTCTTCTGTTTTTATTTCTGTTTTCTCAGCAATCAGAGCAGCTCTGTTAATCCAGCGCTGGTACAGACAATATGTTGCTCGGCTGGAGATGAGGCGCAGGTGCACCTGGAACATCTTCCAGTCTATCGAATACGCAGGAGAACAAAACCAGATAAAGGTGAGTTCAAAAAGTTAAACAAAGGCAGATCATTTTTGTCTGTACTCTATCTTTAAGGAAAAAAAAAACCCCAAAGGCCACTGAAATAACTTCAAATTGACAAAAGTAATAAAACAAAAAAATTACTAGAAATCAACTGATGAAAACCAGTCGCTGCTTTTGAATTTCGGTTCTGCAGCCTGTTTCTCGGTGGACATGGTTGCTAGCAAAGGATGACAAGTTGAAGAGAAGGATATGATGAGTGGCAACCAAAGAGCCAAGTACAACATCCAAAAAGACCAAAGTGAACGCCAAGGTCGAGGTACAGCTGTGTCAGATCACAGCCAAAGTGGAGCCAAAGAAAACGACAGAGGAGGACACCGAATCATAAAAAAGCAAGGCAAGAATTTGTTTAAATGGATATGGGTAAGCCACAAATCTTATGAAAGAATGTCCTTTGGGCAGATGAAACAGTTTTATCATTAAATCAGATCAGCTTTATGTTCACAGACCCAAAAATGAAGCATACAAAGAAAAGAACACATGCTCTTTAAGGAGCCTGAACTTGTTTATCTTTTTTGTTTCAAGGAGACGTTCAAATTTGAACAGTTTGTGACGTCACTACGTACAGCTGAATGTGACCACATAGACAAACGCAGTGACATACAACATAAGGACAGTGCAAAGTGACTTGGGATAGTGTGTGAGGAACACAAAGGAATCACAAAGAAACTATTTACAAAGGAACAGCTTTCAGTTGCCTGCGACTGAGTTGCCACTGTTCATTTTAAAGAGCTGTTCAAAAGATTTGGACCATTCAGGAACGTCACGTCTCTACACCGCACCTTCAGTGGAACGCAGAGGAGGCTTCGTCATGGTCTGGGGCTGCTGTGCTGCATCTGGCACAGGATGTCACCAATCTACCCAGGGTACAATGAAATCTCAAGACCATCAAGGCATTCTGGAGCAAAATATGCAGCCCAGTGTCAGAAAGCTTGGTCTCGGTCCTCCTTCAGAATAATGACTCAAAACATGCAGTTAAAAACACAAGGATGGCTCCGAACAAAACACCGGACTGTTCCGAAGTGAGCTCGGATCTAAATACTGTTAAACATCTGTAGAAGGAGCTGAAACATGAAGCCTGGAGAAGGAAACCTTTGAACTTGAGACAACTGGAGCAGCTTGAGCCAAATTGGCTGTGGACTGGTTGAGAAGTCTCAGGGAGACTTACAGATATCGCTTGATTTCAGTGATCGCCTCAAAAGACTGCAACAACATTTAAAGTTAAGTCTGAGTAACATAAAGCAGCGCGTGATAAAAACCTTACTGCAAAGCCTTTTATTCATGAATTTATACAGCTTGTCATAGTAAAACAACAAACCCACTCTAATAACTTGACTCCAAGTAACATAACTTTATTTCCTTTATGTCCATAAGCTCCATGCAACATTATCTGTTGATCAAATATTCACAATTTAATGATTTTTTTTTTCCATCACTCAGCTGTACAACTTTTTTGGCTTCTTGATGGATCACTTTACCCCAGCCAGCAGTGAAAGTAAGACATTAAATCTCTAATATGTTGTGTTTAAGTCACCGTGGACACATTCAGGGTTTGATCCCGGCCCTCTTCTTTTGTTTGCAATGAAGGAAACCTAATATCTCACATATTTCGTGAGAATGAAGTCTGCCATGAGACGGAGTGGGAGCGATATTTTTGCTACAAGGGCGTTGAGGTGCCCGACAGCTACAGTGGCCCTCATCTAACCTTTCCCATGACCTTCTGTGGGGTGTCAAAGCTAATGGAGGCTTTGAAGCAGAAACAAGTAGGTGCACCCTCCTCCAGGTGATAGATATTTGAACCTGACAAAAAGCAAAGTGTGTTTTTTTTCCACCCCCAGTTTATTTATACGTGTTTTCCTCCCAGTAGCAGCTCCATGCTCGGTACGTGCTGCAGATTCTTGGAGAGACTTGGAGACTTTTACGATTTCTTCCAAACATCAATCACGTCTCTGTCTGCCAGACCAAGGAGATTACTATCTGTGGTACCTTGCATCAAACCATTCTTAGAATCTTTTTCCCCCTCAAAGTTTTCTCTTTTGTTGTTCTTAAAACAGATATGGTACTTTTGTTTTTCAGGAGACTTGCACGGGCAGCTTGAAGACCTGCTGTTGATATTCTATAAGGTAATATTCTATAAGTCATAAAATATTCTATAATAAGACTTTCTATAAGTCATCATGTTGTCCATCAAAATATTCATTTAAAATATAAACAAACCTGAATTTCAATTGTCCAGAATGGTTTACCATCGTGTGAGAAACCGTACGTCTTCAACGGGGACTTTGTGGATCGTGGCAAGAACTCTTTGGAGATTCTGCTCATCCTGTTTGGGTTCCTGCTTGTTTACCCCCATGATGTGCATCTGAACAGAGGGAACCATGAAGACCACATCGTCAACCTGAGGTAAGACCAACTGCAGTTGGTCACAACACAAGTTATTGAAATATTACCACACTTACAACACTTGACACCAAAAGTGCTTTTTATTTTGTGTGTGTGTGTGTGTTAATTTAGATATGGTTTCACTAAAGAGGTTCTGGGGAAATACAGGGTAAGTATTGGACTCTGTCATGGTTTATGAGCATGGGACTTTGTGATATTTCCTCTAACTTGTCTTCAGGTTCATGGGAAGAAGATTCTAAAGCTTCTCCAGAAGATCTTCAGCTGGCTTCCTGTGGCCACAGTGATCAATCACAAAGTGCTGGTTGTTCATGGAGGCATCTCTAACTCAACCAACCTCAATGTCCTCACCAGAATGGACAGACACAGAGTAAGAGAAGCCAAGTCACCGTGTTTTGTTCAAAACAAACCAACTCAGACCTAAAGCAGGCGTTGTGATGTGTGTGTGTGTGCAGTATGTGTCAGTTTTACGGCCTCCTAAGATGATCCATGGCAGCAGCAGCAGGAACGGAGATGCTGGTGGGCCCGTGGAGGGCCGACGTCGAGTGCGATCTCTGACCAACCACAGCTTTGCATCGACTCAGAGGAGCGTCTCTCCACGGCGTTCCCTCCACAACCTGTCCGTGAACAATGATGTGAGCGGCTCTGTGGAGGACGAGCTGAGGAAGAGGCACAGGCTGGCTGGGTTGGATCCGGCCTACAGAGACACAAAGACAGCAGAGCCTGATTCAGAGCCAAGGTTTGGAGAAGGAACTGGAAGACATGGGCATGAATGGAAACAGGTGAGTGACAGTTTCTGCGTACATTTCCTCTTTAAGTCAGTAAAGGATACTTTTGATTTCCAAACTCTTTCTATGTTTGAGAATATTTGCTTTTTTATCTGATATAGTTTTAAATATTTACAAAGGAGAATATCCACTGTGGTTACTTATCACTGGCATCAAAAAGCAGAGAATGATTTGCTCGTTTGTGTTTGTCTACATCTAAATCTCATGAGCTGCTGGACAGCTTTGAATAAAATTCTGGAGCTGGGGAGTCAACCCAATTTAGGATGGCCACCAAAGCTAATTACCCTTAAGACATAAATGGCTATACACTGAGAGCTAACTGACCAACAGATTAACAGACTTATTAAAAAACACATCATACAACTAACTGTTACAGTCATCTTTATCTGTCTGATAGCAAAATATTCCATGAACCACCAGACAGATTTTAATGAAACTTTCAGTAAGTGATCAGCAGATGGCCAATCAGCCTTAGGAAGCACAAGACTGACTATCACTCAGTCAAAGCCACAGAAAGTCGCAGACATTGAAGTGATGCTTGATGTGGTGGTAGCTGTGGTAATCCTTAATACATACTTTGAGTGTGAAGATATGTATGAGACCACACATAGCTTTCAGGTTTGACCAAAAGTCCAACATGAAAGATGGCTTGGGTGCACTTTGAGATCTTTCCCTGTTTTTTATTTATTTATTTATTTATATTATTATTATTATTAGTCTTTTATTGTTTTTTCAATGATTTTGCAATCTTTTCAAAAATCAGTTCTGTATTTTATTGTTTGTCAAACATCTATATCTGGCCAAAAAAATGCATACATTTTTTTCTTTATATCTTCGTCTTTTATCAATCTGCTAAATTTACTGAAGGTTTCTTGACAGCTTGTTTTCAAACTAAACTTCCTGAGCTCAGTTTGGGAGCTTGACATCAGTTACTTTATGTTAAGAAAGCTAGCATTGATCAAATTGTTGAGGAGTTGAACATACATTTGAAATTTGCATCACCCCATGATAACAGTAATAGTCACAATAACAGTCATAGTTCTATTTTTTATAAATGATCTAAAAGCTTCAGTTTTCTTTGTTTTTTAAACCTCTGCAACTCTCGCTAAAAACGTTGAAAAGTTTGAATTGATCGGACACCGTGTTCATCAACCCAAACGTTTGCAGGCTGCTGTGTTCCACAGTCAACCTTTAATCTAACCCCACCAGATAGTGGACCTGCTGTGGAGCGACCCGATGCCACAGAACGGTTGCATCCCCAACGAGGTGCGTGGTGGGGGCTGCTACTGGGGGCCAGATGTCACTGAGGAGGTGCTGGGAAGACACAACCTCCAGCTCCTCATCCGCTCCCACGAGTGCAAACAGGACGGCTACGAGTTCTGTCACAACCGCAGGGTGAGCACAGAGAAACACACCTCCGGCCAAAAGTTCACCGTGGAGAAAGGACTGAAAACTTTCCCTTCCTTACATACAGGTATTGACAATATTTTCAGCCTCCAACTACTATGAGGTGGGCAGTAACAGGGGGGCATACATCAGAATGGGCCCTGACTTGGTCCCCCACTGCATCCAGTACCAGGCCAGCAGGACTTGCAGAGAGCTCACACTGAGACAGAGGTACACATCTGGAAAGTCAAGTCACAGAGGTTGAAGCTTTTAATGATATCACTTTTTTTAAATTGTTATTTCTGTAAACCAGTGTCCGCTGGACGGAGAGGTCGGCTCTTCAAGCTCTGAAGGAGCAACTGTTTGTACACAAGTCTGATCTCATCAGTGCCTTCAAGGAGTTTGATCCCAACAAAACAGGTGCAAAAAGCACAGCGATGTGTTTGATTATTTCTACATCCACCAGTAAGAAATGGAAGAACATGAACACATATGTGACCCATATCGAAATGAGGACTAAGCCAAATTTGGTTGAAATTACCTAATTATATTTTCAGATTCCTGGCTTTAAAAGCTACATTTTGATACCTGATAAGCTTATCCAGAGATATGACTTAATTTGTCTTGTTGGTTATGATAATACATTACCATTTGGTCTGAATCCTAATTTTATGTAAATTTATTGAGTAATTTTGATGTTAATATAAAAAGGAATCCTCAAATATTATTTGTATATTATAGTATATTCCAATTGGAAAGAAACAAAAACATTGCCAGCTCACAGGGAAAATTTTAAGGTGTTTTTCCTCAAAATCAGTTTTTTTTTTTTGTTGCTACTGCTCAAAAAATGCTTCAAAATTTTTTTTAGGATTATGACAGTTCATTCAAATGATACATCGACAAGGCATTAATTCATTATGTTTTGACAAAATGCAATTTTTGCACTTGTTTAAATCAAAACCCTATCTGCCTATATCTCCACATTCCACTTTTGGACTTAATCCTCGTTTCGATGTGATGATGGTCACTTATATCCCGTTCGTATTTCAGGGATGATCTCTCTGAGGCATTGGGCAGTGGCTACAGAAAGCGTCCTGAAGCTGGGTCTGCCTTGGAGGATGCTGCGCCCTCAGCTCATCAGCAGGACCCAGTATGGGATGGTGAACTACCAGCAGTGGATCAGAGAGCTGTCCATCACTGAGCCCAAACTACAGGTGCTTTTGTTTGGTCTCACCTTACCCCCTTGCTGCTCCACGTGTTGGAAAGAACAGGACAAACTAACACCCCTGAATCTGAAACAGAAAGCAACGATTCACAAATCTCATAAAATTGGATTTCACATTGAATCTCCTGGCAGGTGTCAGATACCAGTATCATGGATACTATGTACAAAAACCACTCCAATCTGGAAACCATCTTTCGCATGATAGACACAGACCATTCAGGTGAGTAAGCAGCATGGATCTCCAAATAGCTAGCTCATTGGCTCAAATGAATGACAGAATGTTAAGATTAAATGTCAAACGTATTCAACTTAAATACCTCCTCCTCCAGGTTTGATCTCTTTCGAAGAGTTTCATCAAACCTGGAAACTCCTGAGCTCTCACCTGAAGATGGAAATCAGCGATAAGGCCATCGCAGACCTGGCCCAGAGCATGGACTTCAACAAAGACGGCAGCATTGACATCAATGAGTTCATGGAGGCTTTCCGGCTGGTGGACCTCTCCACGCACAGCTGACGGCCCAGAACAGGAGCTGCGGCAACTTAGACGTTAGATTTGTTCCCTCTGGAGACACTTACCCAAACCGTTGAGTTGGTAGACGATCAAGCTCGTCTACCCAAACCGTTGAGTTGGTAGACGATCAAACTCGTCTACCCAAACCGTTGAGTTGGTAGACGATCAAGCTCGTCTACCCAAACCGTTGAGTTGGTAGACGATCAAGCTCGTCTACCCAAACCATTGAGTTGGTAGACGATCAAGCTCGTCTACCCAAACCGTTGAGTTGGTAGACGATCAAGCTCGTCTACCCAAACCGTTGAGTTGGTAGACGAGCTTGATCCAGTGCATCATTATTATTAATCCAGGTGTTAAGGAGATGTTTATACCTCTTCTAGTTTTATGGCTATTTTCCATCATTATTCTATGTTCACCTGTCCAGTTGGTGAATAAACACTTCATTCAATATGAATAGTGTAAATATTTTTCACTTCATTTCATGCTTTTCAGGCTGCAAGGCTTTCATTCCTTCCTTCAAACAGCTGAATGAATGTTTACTCCTGCCTGACAGTTGTTGAACTCAGACCTTTAGGATATGGGTGACCTGTTGCACGAGGAGATGTATAACCCGTTTAGAGGCGCTCTAATCAGTTCAACACAGGGATGAGAGTCCAGGACATAAATCCTATCAACTCAAGCCCTGCTTTGATGAGATGTAGGAAAGTGAGTGTGTTGAGGTAAACAAAGACCACATGACCCATATGAATACCAAACATGGGCTTTCACAGCAAAAAACAACACGATCAAGTTTGTTCACAAGTTTGATTCTAAACTAAATTTATTAATATTCTAATAGCATAAAAAATACAAAATTTACAGTCATCATGGCACACATTTAACCTCAGCTTGTTTATTTCCTCTAGACAGTTATAGGCCTAATCACACCTATAATCTGATTAGACAAAAGGGAGCCAGCTTTTATTAGATATCGAGTCTCTCCATTAAGCTGTCCCGACTGTAGGGAAGTTTATTTTATTGACTGGAAAAAAAAGAACAAACAATGAGGCAAATACAATTTCAAACTAATCCTTTATAAGCCTGCTAAGACGGTCATCTCAGTGAAGCTTTGCGATTGTTCCATTTACTGGTCTGGGTGCCATTTTTCAGGCTGATGTTGGGTCCAAACATGTATTTTCAGTTCAAGATGCCTCCTCTCATGTGACCGCTGTCACTCAGTCCGTGCTCAATCAGTTTGATGTCCTCCATGTCTTCTTTGATGACGCCAATCAAGTGACTTAAGCCGTCCTGCTGCTGCTTCAAATGCTGAAAGTTTGGAATAAAAAGTGTTTTGGTCAAAAATAAAAAGTGACTAATGTATGAACTTTTACAGATCTAGAGCTTGTCTTGAATTCATTAGAATGATAATTTGGCTTTTATCCAGAACAGGGGTTCCCAAAATTTTCCATGCCATGCCCCCCCCCTAAACAGCATTAGCTTATGGCCGGGGAATCTGATACCTAATCTACGAACTATAGGATGTTTACTTGAAAACAAAGGTTCAAAACTCTGACTGTCTTACTTGTTTGATTTCTCTGAGAAGGTCTGCATCAACACTGTAGCGCTCCTCTGACCTCACAGCTCCAAAGTGGTTCTGCATTCGAATCTGGGACATTAATTCATTCAAACGGCCCTGTGTACATAAAAACATTAAAAATCATAAATAAAGCATCCAATTAAAGACGTCTGCATTAAAACAGGATATCATAAAGCTGGTTTAGATTTACCAATATGTACTTTATAACTAAAACATGCAGGTATAATTTAAGTCCACATATTCAGATTAATGACTGAAAAAAAAAGCTGCTGGCAGTAAAAACAATGCTACAGCAGTTTAAACACTTGCCTTGAACTGTGTGGGAGCATTGAGTTCTGACTGAATGGTGTCCAGCTGCACCCTGAGGTGCTCCTCATCCACCTGGATAGCATAACCGCTTTTTCTCTGAATCTCCTGTTTGATCAGTACCTTTCAGAAAACGAGAAATACGGCGGCGTTATTGGACCACAGACGAAGCAGAAGCAGACGGTGCCAGGTCATTCAAACTGGATCAAACAAACAGATGGTATTCATAAAGTTTAACTATTCGTGGAAGAAAAAGAAGAATTCTGAATGTGTTTTTACCAAATGCAATAAACTTTTTAAAGACATTAAATATGTGAGACTGCTGCTTGGTTGAGCTGTTTAAATGTCAGCTTTGTGGCATTTATATTTAAACAGCTGTTGTATTATTTTTGTGACTTTATCTAAATTTACCAAGACTCTGGAGAGCCACAGCCGGCGTGACATTTTAGATTTTGAAGCTCTATACAATCCATAACTGGTCAGGTTCTGGCTATGCTGAGGCTCCAGATTATCTCTGGCATACAATCAAATCAGCTCTCTGGTTTTTTTTTTTTTTTTTTACATTAGATTCATTTCCAGGCAACATAAACAGTTTTTATTGTGTAATTTAACTTTCAGTGACACAGCTATTTTTTGCTGAATCACAAAAACCTGTTTGTTTTTAAACGTACAAATTAAAAAAAGGGACTAAATAAAGAGTCCTTGTTTGAAATAGACTTGAAGAAAATGATGTGAAGCAGGTACCTGCAGCACTCTGTGTGAGAGATCCATCAGCTTCCTCTTGTATTGAGCAATCTTGGCCACGGTTGTCGCCTGGTTCTTCTGCAGCTCGCTGATGTCGTTGGAGATGATCTGCAGGTGGATAAATAAAAAGGGGAAACGCAACAATTAGCGTCCTCACACTTTACATTATTGACTACTTATTCTGTTTAATAACAACTGTTTTAATACGACTGTATTATAAAGCAGACAATTTGGAAAGTGAATCATTTACAAAACGGCTAGAGAAGAAAGCATTGACTGTGTCTAAGTGTGGGGTTACAGACGACTTATCCTACGTGATTTATCTAGCTGCATTTTTACACAAGGTAACATTCAAGCCAAAAATATTTGCCAATAAATGTAACATTTTCAGCTTACAAAAGCCAAAAACAACCTGTGAAACACATCTGCTCTTGCAGATTTTAGGAATTCAGTGGAGAATTCCTGAACAATTGCAGATTAAAACAAGTGCTGGCATCGAGCATCAACTGGACATCTGTGCTGTCCTTGACGCCACAAAAACCTGCCTCAGAATTCCTTCGCTGATAATCAAGCAGCTCTGTGCCCATTCTTGCCAGTCCTCCCCCACCCCTCCTGCTAAAACTAGAAACGACAGCAGAGGTATTTTTACTCACATCCACTCTAGTCTGATGTTGTTTAGTCATCTGTTCCTGGATCTGTAATCTGCGCAGCAGCTCCTTAAAACCAACCATGGGGACAGGGATCAACCTAGCAAAATTAAAACTAAATCAGTCATGTTGAACAGTTTTTATTGTATTTTTAATGAATGATGTACGACACAAACTAACCTCTCAGGTTCAGGGTTGTCCACCTTAGCCTGTTCCCAGATGATGGGATCCACTCCTGTTGAGAGAAAACACCTCATCCATCGTGAAAATCGCATCACTTGCACGCTTGTCAACACAGCTGTGTGAAGCTGACACCCCACCCACGTCAAAAAATCCATCAAATAGTCAGAATCGTTAGTGCTCCGTTTGTGCAGGTTTGTGCCGTTAAAAGTGTTGTTTGTGCAGTTTTGGTTTCCGAGATATTAAGTATTATATTTTTTGGTCATCTACTGTTCACCATCACCCCAGATTGCTCCAAAAACTAACCAAAGTGGGCTAGGTCGTTAGTGCTCCTTTTGGGCATGTTTGTGCAGTAAAAACTGTCGTTTGTGCTGCTTTTGTTTTCGAGATATTAGCAGTTATAATTTCGGCCGATGACGTCACCATTTCGGAGCGTGCTGGGGGGACGATGATGTCATCGCGTACAACTAAGAACTTGTAATATCTCAAAAACTGTAACAGCACAAACGTTCATTTCTACTGCACTAACCTGCACAAACGAGGCACAAAAATAGTATAATGTTTTGGTTAATTTCGGAGGTTGCTGGGGGGATGGTGACGTCATAATGAGCTAAAGACATAATGCTTAATATCTCAAAAACTATAACAGCAAAAACGCTCATTTTAACTGCACAAACCTGCACAAACGAAGCACTAACCAATCCGCTTACTTGTTTGGATTTTTTGTGTGGGTGGGGTGTCAGCTTCACACAGCTTGTCAACACTCAACTGTGCCCAAATTTACCTGCAGGAGCGTTCTGCAGCAGCTGTTTGAGCTGAGCTGGTGAGAGCTCTGTGCGTGTGACTGACATGATCACTCCGATCTGTGTGAGCTGAACCTTAATGTTGGCCTGCTCCAGGTAGCTGAAGAGATTGGAGGCTGGGATCCTCTTGGAGGTGCCGTTAGGGGAACGCTCCACCACGTAAATGATCACCTCTGTCCTGGAAGTCAGTCATAGCATGAAGAGAAGCTCATCTTTCTTTCAAGAGAACGTCTAAATCATCGATTACAAAGAAAAAAAGAAAGAACAAAACAGTTTCTGGTGTTTGTATGACAAGTAAGAAGACTTACTGGTCATTTGGCAGGGATTTGACCCCTTCCACATTCACAGTTAGTGTCTGGTTGCTTCCCAGGACTTTGTGAAGAGACTCCACCAGCTGCTGCTGCTGCGCCCTCACGTCTGCTTCTTTCTTATTGAGCATCAAGACCACTAAACCATCTTCATCCTTACTCACTGGGATGCAGCTATATCCCACAGCCTGAGGAACAACGAGACACAGATTTTAGTTTTCAAATTTACGAGCACCCGGCGAAAACATTCAAACTGTATCATTTCACCTTGAACCTGCAAAAAGGGTTCTCTTGAGTAAAATCCACCGGCTGGCTGTTGTTGCTGTAGTAGCCCTTTCCTGTACCCCAGTAGGCCTGCAGCTGGTTCCACTTAGCAAGAATGGAGTCCCGTTCATCTCCTAACAGGGTCGGGGCCGACAGAGCGGTGACCTGCTGGTAAAGCTGGGTGGGCTGAGTCTGACCCTGCTGCTGGGCCGGCTGGCCAAACAAGCCTCCTGCTCAGGAACCAGAGAGGTAAAAGGACATCAGGTTGTCTCACTTTTTCTTAGTATCTGTAGTCTTAAATCTCAAAGTCAACGACTGCTGAATTATTGGCAATATAAAAGCTTAAAATAAAATTCTGAGCTTGTTGACTTTTAGTAGAAAATGTATGACCCATATAACTATGAATTATGTGTGAGCTGCTCATAATTTTGAACCTTAATGTGTAACTTTCTGTATAAATGTATGCCGAGTTTCAGCATTTTTAACAATCATAGTTTTTAAATCTTTGCATGTAAATTCTTCAACATTTAGGAAAAGATCACCTTGCTGCTGTTGGGTCGACTGGATGTTAAAACCTCCAAATCCACCAAGGCCAGTTGTTCCTAATCCAGTTCCAAAACCTGATGCTCCAGTGGCGGTACCAGTTCCAAGGCCTGATGAAAATCCAAACCCTTTGTTTTGTGTGTTACTAAACAGGCCTCCTAAAGCAAAATATGTAAACAAATTGAAAATTAGTGTTTTATATATATTTTTCGATTAGGACAACGCACATTAATCAACGTTACCACAATTCATGGCAGTGGAAATATGCAGGAATTAACACAACAGCTAAATCTCATCCTTTGTCCTAGAGCAGTGGTTCCCAAACTTTTCAGCTTTTGACTCACAAAATACCAGCAGTGGAGACCTGTTCCCCCTGTGCATAGTAACAATATTTATTACGCTATTTTTGTCCATTTTAAGTACACTTACTTTACTTTGTTGTGACAACAAAGGCAAAAAATAGTTGTTAGTTGTCATTCTTTAGTGTAATTAATTCAGGAAAAAAACTTTTCAGGACCCCACTTTGATGTTTCGGGACCCCACTGTGGGTCCCGACCCCAACTTTGGGGACCACTGTGAGCACAAAAAACAAAACACCTCACTATACAATTTGCAGGACAAAACACAGAACAAAATTAAAAAAAAAAAAAAAAATCAAGAAAATTTGACAGATAAGAACACTCTTAAAATATCTAAAAACAAGAGAAAAGACCTCAACAATAAGCAATGGAAGACATTATGAATTGGTACATAACTGGTTTGATCTCAACCAATGCTCACATTTCTTTTTAAAAAATTACAGTCTGTTCCATGAATGTGCGCCTCTGATGCTACCTTCTGCCTAAACTGGGTTCTGCAGCCCAGTATGTTTAGAATGTCTCACGTAATGGTGGCGTGGCAAGCCCATTCAACACTTCAAAAATCAGACAGACATAATGATATATTTGATAAGAATCAAGGCTTAAAATATGCTTTCAAATGACTTTACAGTAAAGAAAATGACATGACGAGTTTTACCAGGTTGTATAAAAGTAAGTTATATGAGCAAAAAACAGATAAATTCAAGCTGACTGTGTGGTAATAAAAGGATGAATAGGAATACAGTGGGGAAAATAAGTATTTAGTCAGTCACCAATTGTGCAAGTTCTCCCACTTAAAAAGATGAGAGAGGCCTGTAATTGACATCATAGGTAGACCTCAACTATGAGAGACAAAATGTGAAAAAAATTTGAGAAAATCATTTTGTCTGACTTTTTTTGCAAATAATGGTGGAAAATAAGTATTTGGTCACCTACAAACAAGCAAGATTTCTGGCTGTCACAGACCAGTAACTTTTTTAAGAGGCTCCTCTTTCCCCCACTCATTACCTGTATTAATGGCACCTGTTTGAAGTCGTTAACAGTATAAAAGACACCTGCCCACAACCTCAAACAGTCACACTCCAAACTCCACTATGGTGAAGACGAAAGAGCTGTTGGAGGACACCAGAAACCGAATTGTAGACCTGCACCAGGCTGGGAAGAAAATCTACTGTGGGAGCGATAATCAGAAAATGGAAGACATACAAGACCACAACTAATCTCCCTCGATCTGGGGCTCCACGCAAGATCTCAGCC